AAACACCTGTAAGGAAAGCTCAGGCTCCAGTTTTAACTTGCCCAAGACTGTCAGTCATTTTGGTATCTGAGAACAATGAGTATTTCTGGTCCTGTGGGATTCATGCAATTGCCCATCAGCCTCCTTTATAAGCTTTGTGTCTACCTACGTGAAGCCCTATTTTATTTTAATAATTGTTTTTGTATTTTATAACGCATTCTGAGACTTCCTAAAACAAATAAACAAACCCTCTCTTTCTCCTGCCCCTGGAAAGAAAAATATCAAGGGTATTTTTGAAAAGAAAATTGGCATTGGGACATCCATATTTAAAGCCAATGTCATTAACTTCTGAGATTCTTACAAATCAGGTGCCCCTTCTTCCTTTACTAAGAATTTTGTAAGCTTCTCGATAACTAGGATCTCCTGCTCTTTTACGGTGACTTGGTCTTAGTGAAAGGTACCAAATTATTAAGCTAGTCAGTCTCGCAGGTAAGTATCAGAAAGTTATAGGCACCAGCTCTCTCCCTTCTGCATCTGCCGTTTCCCCATTCACTCCTCCTGGTTAGGCTAACAAGTCCAAATCACACAACATCAGCAGCAACAACAACAAAAAATCAGCTCTGATCTGTTAGGAATCATGATAATTATGTTCCCAGTACTTGTGTCTGGGTCTTGGTATAAACTTGGACCATATGTATCATCTCTTTTTCTCTACTTTTTAATAAAGTTCATTATTCTTTAATAACACTGGAACCCAGCCTGTTTTTATATTTTTAAAAACTTTTACAATACAACTTCCTGAAAATCCAAGTTCACTGCAAAGTATATTGTCATGACACAATAGCAATGACAATCACACAGACACCTGTGTAATCCTACCAGTATTTTCAAAAGTGGGGAAGTGTCCTCCCGACCCTATCCAGTGGTAAAGATTTTTAAAAATCTGTTCAACTTTAATTTATTGGCATTAATAGGTGGGTGCCCAGCATAGATAAGGTAAAATGATTGATCATTTAAAAGGTATTTATATTTGGCTCTGAAATACATTGTTAGACTTACAAACATGCATATATATATACCTGTGTGTATCAGATTTGCCTTCCTAATCTTTATTTTACTTTAGCTCTGAATGAAAATTAGCTTGAATTTTCTAAGTCCATAAATGCCAAGAGCCTGCAGGAAAAGAGATACTACGGAGCCACTGCTCTCATCTCTCTGGAGAAAATGTCAGGCTGGTCCCTTCCCAACTCATTCTCGCCGGTACCTGTACATGCTACAACCTACACACTATTTTACATTTTGGAAAAGCCTTTATTATTGGGGTTGAGTTTTTATTATTGTTGCTGTTTTCCTTTAAAAAATATTGGCTCTTAATAAAAAATTCCTGGAATAAAAGAATTATATTCCCAGAACCAAAATCACATTGAACACACAAGTAAACAATAAAGAAAAGTATTGCCAAAACCGGTTTGGCTCAGTGGATAGAGCGTCGGCCTGCGGACTGAAAGGTCCCAGGTTCGATTCCGGTCAAGGGCATGTACCTGGGTTGCGGGCATATCCCCAGTAGGAGATGTGCAGGAGGCAGCTGATTGATGTTTCTCTCTCATCGATGTTTCTAACTCTATCTCTCTCCCTTCCTCTCTGTAAAAAATCAATAAAATATATTTAAAAAAAAAAAAGAAAAGAAAAGTATTTTTCAACTCAATAGCCTTTGGACTTCTGGTGCCTCAAGAATGTGAATTTTGGTTCAGGACTGTCCCTTCACACTGTCCCTTCCATTGCTGATGGCTGAGGCATGCCTGGAATTTATTTATTTATTTTTTTTGGATTGAAGAAAAGGACCTTAAACTATAACATGACCAAACAATTATTTCTTCCTAAAATTATTAATTTAAAAGTAAGATTTAAAAATGCTTGAGGAAACTCATGGGTCAAATTCCATTACCTTTCAATTTGTAGAGATTTTTTTTCCCTTTCAGATTTTTAACAAATTGAAATTCAGTAGGGCTTACAATTTTGATACATAAATATATGGAAACGCACATGTATTCATGTATGTATGTAAATAATTTTTTAAAACACACATTTCTCTGGTGAGATGTTTATGAAAAGTCCTTGGAGGGGAGTTCTTGGTTTTTTACATTATGACTTCTTCCTCAGGTCACCAGGAACACAGAGGGTGTATGTGACTACCCCTCATTTGGGCCAGTGTTGAAATCTCAGGCCACAAAGAGATTTTTGCTCTTTTGGAGTAGACATCTTCCGATGATGCCGGAGACTGAAATGCTGAGATTAGAGTACCAAAGAATCACTAATCAAACCAAGCAGGCTTGGCTGCTCAATCTACTCTTGATAGAACAACCATTTCCACTGGCCACAAGTCACAAGGAATCATTTGGAAATATGCAAGTTGAAATTCATTTTTATCAACCAATATGGAGCGTTCCCCTGCTGAAATAATGCTCTTTTTGGTCATTTGACAAAGAAGACATGGAGTATGAGCAAGAGACAAAGAGACACGGAAAAGTCCAGGTAGGGTGAATGACAAAAGTCCAGGAGAGTCACAGCTCCATGGCTGCTGCCACTGAGAAGGGAGGCCCACACAGTGGGAGTGAGAAGTGGAACAAGGGACAATGGGGCTCCCAGGGGCAGGACCCTGCTTTGTATTTTCTCTCCAGGACTGAGACCCACCCCACCCCAACAACACCATTGCCTTACCCCAGAGCCAGCTGTGGTTATACACAGGCTTGTCTACGCAATTTGGTCATTACCACCCTGAGGAAACCTGATTAACCCACTGCAATGGGAGGTACTTCCCCTTTGAGAAGTCCCTTTGGTAGATCTACTCACCGAGGAGGATCTAGAACACCTGGGACTGGGACACTCCTGGAGAACAGATTTCTGGACTGGCCTCATCTCCGTAAGTGGTGGGAATGGACCATGGAGCCTTCCCAGAAGACGAGCACCTGACTGGCCCCGGCCTAGTTCTGGGGTGGGTGGGCCTCACCACCTTGATTATGGTTGAGGCATAGATGAGCGATGACTCCAAATACAAATAAAACTCATTTTCACTATGGGTCCATTTATCAACAGCTTATCAAGCTTGTACTTGACTTTCAACCTTTGCCAGGAATTTTCACAGAAATGTGAATACTTCAAGTCATCCACAGTGGTAAACAAACTCTGGGATGTCATGAGAAATGAGCAAAATTCTGAACTGAATACTTAATCAACGAAACACTTGATAAAAACAAGACATGAATTTGGGCAGCAATAATTTTGGGGTTATCACCAATGTCAAGTTGAGTCTATATACGTGTTCATATATTATATATATATATATATCTTTCTTTAGAAATGCAACTTTACAGCTGATTTTTAAAAAGCTAATAGAAAAGTAGAAACTGGCAATTATTTTTACATGTTTCCCCCCACCCCCAAATGAAGCCCTGTTAGGATGTAGCAATCAAATGAGGTTGTCAATTCCTCTATAAACTCTTTGGTTCTGTGGCTCGGGCGAGGATGTGTCACCAAGACCCCTAACCCTGACTCTCACTCCCCTCCCCTCCCCTGATGATGAGACTGAACAAAGAAGGAACCTTAAGTCTAAGGGATTAGCAAAGAACATTCAAATGACACTACCATTCCCCCCACTCTGCAGAGCAGAGAGAAGAGAGTCGTTCGCTATGCCAACATCTTAAGCTTGGAGTCCATAGAACCTTTTGAGAGATTCCATATTAGGGTAGAAAGCCATAAAACAAGATGAAAGGGAAACAATAAAATCAAATAAATGACCCTTTCCTTTCGTTGCTCAGAAACAAAATTGATTACCTTTATACAGATCAATGGTACTATTAGTATGTTAGCCAGGCAAGAGGAGATAATGAACTGAAACAAAAGGTGTGAGAAATCCTCATCTTTGGTATTGTAGCTGTTGAGGTTTCTGTTGCTCTGTTCCGTGTTCTTTTGAAAAACTGCATAGGCACAAATTAAAGACAATCTTCAACTTTAAGATTCCCGCGTGAGTTGTCAAATGAAGCAGCAGCCACTGAGGCGTTTTCCTTATTTCCATTCTTGTCTCAACCCTTTCTTTCAAATCTGCTTCCAAAAAATGTCCCAAGAGGTCTGTTTGAACACAGTGTGTCTCACTGCATTTTTTTTTTTTTCTGGCGTGCTTCCTTCTTCTTGGTGGTGATTTTCATTGATTTACGTATTTACTTATTCACCTTAATGGGACAGTTTTGTTTGTTGCAGAAGTAGGTGCAGAAAAAGTTTCTTTGGTTTCGATTAAGTAATTCATAAAAAAAAAGTCAGTCTCAAGTGTCTGTAAAGAATCATTGCAGCGTTTGGCTTGCTTTGAACACCCCCATGGTGCCCACCTGGGGCCATTCACTGGTAAATATGCACATCATGACCTTCGCAATCTCCCAGAGTTCTGTGGGCGCTCTCCTGCTTGCTGTTGGAAGGTGACAGCCACTCCCTGGGTGGCTTGGCTGATGTCCTTGGCATAGCCTGTCTGCTCAGCCTGATGGTGAGCCAAATGCAAGAGCTGGCTGCCATTTGGAGTTGCAGAGGTTTTCTGATTTCTAAACGTAATCACAGTTTATTTAGGCTAGAAAATGGCAAGTAATAAATGTCTTTGGTTTGCAGTATTCTGCTTCTTTGGTGTGCTGTGTTTTCTCCAGTTTTATTCAGCTGTTTTTCTAGGACAACTTAACAATGGAAGAGGTTTAGGACTAGATGCATAACATGTATGGCGGTTTGAATGATTATCTTTTTCTTGTAAGAAAACACTGAAAACATCCCTACCAATGGGATGAATGAGAGAACAACCCAAATCTGAAAGAGTGAGAATGAGTTACGTGGTGGTCAGAATGCACAATAGGAGGAACCAGGTGACTAACAACCAAGAAGGATACATTAATGATCTAAAAAAATCTAGATCTTTTAAAATGCTGCATTTGCTCCATGTACCATAACAGTTAAATTGGCCTCCTGAGTGTGCGTCTGCATTATGTACAAACAGAATTTGTAGCAAACTGCAAAATGTGCTTGAAGCCTTATTCCCAATGATTCCCTAATCACTTCCCAATCGGTGTCTTGAAAATCCAGAGGTGGTGAATCCAAAACCTTCCTTTCTTCTCTGTTTATCTTTGTTGTGCTTGATACTTTGAGCTCAAGTGAACTGATTTGTTGTTTTGATGGATCCAAGACCATATTAGATTTACAGGAGGTAAAGAAAAGAAAACTGTAAACTGGACCAACATAAATCTTTCAAAACCATTCAATGAAAAGATGCCTGAGTTGGAAAAACAGGTCCTTGGGTTTGTTTGTTTGTTTGTTTTTAACTTCATATTTAATACTTGTGCTCAGTAATTATCATATCCGATGTTTTTTATGTTATGGCTGTGAACTTTGGTGTATGTGGTGTGATGTGGCTAAGCACTTGAAAATCAAATGAGGTCATTCTGGTTGCTAGAGTCTTCTCTTAAAGTAGCATCTTGGGAGCCCAAACTCAGATGGAATTCCCACGGTTACTTGTGAGAACTCTGACTGCAAGAGGTTGAAAAACTCCCCAAGTGGGGCTGTTGACATTTTAAGCAATCCTGAGCTTGGTTGACACTACACTGAAATGAACTTGCTCCAGGAAGGCCCCATTTGGGTTTCTGAGATGCTCAGCATGCTCAGAGGACAAAGTCCGGTTCAAAGAGATTCATTTCCAGCTTTCACTTGGGCTCCATAGCCATTAAAAACAAAACAAAAAAGAACACCTGGCCTATGATTACAGCTAGAAGTTTCTTTTCAAGAGAATTGTGCTTTCAAATCACCAGTGAAGGGCCCCAGCTAAGAATCCAGTGTCTTTTTCCTTTGTGTTTTCTTTTGGTATGTGTTTTACTCATTTGGAAATGACTTGTGCCCAACTAAGAGTCCTTCCATCAGGCTTTGGTACAAGTGCTGGAGGTGGACGAGGAGCCCCCGGTGCTCAGGTCGTCCTGCCACTTCTCCAGGCTACGGCGCCGGGCGTTCATGAAGAAGTTGCTGACGGTTGTGAGCTCCAGGCCCAGCTGCTGGGAAATGGTGATCTGCATCTCTTTTGATGGGCGCTTGTTTTCCTTGAAGATGGCGAAGAGTGTTCGGCGTTGGAGGTCAGTGAACACCAGGCGGGATTTCTTCTGGGAATTGTTCCTGTCTTTGTTTGGTTCTTGCTCTTTGCGTTTGCATGCTGGAAGGGAAAGAGAGAGAAGAAGGAGAGAGTCAGTCCTGGCTCCTGAGAAGGTGATCCATTGAAAACATCGACAAAGTCAGACAAGGGGATGTAAACTGTTAAACTTTATTGTGTAAATTGCCCAGCTGTCAATAACCAGCCTTCCCCAGTTCATCTCCAGGCGACAGAAGGCATCAGTCAGTGTGCGGAGGGAGAAAGGAGAAGACAGCGGGGCTGTTTTCCAGTCTGGTTTGGAACCAGTTGCTTTTTCCAGTTCGCCTTCACTCCCAGCACCTGCTTAAATTTCTGTAACTGTGAAATCAGGGGGCTGGGAAGGGAGTGAGGAATCCAGGTCTCTAGGGGAGACTGGTTAGGCAGTTCCTCTTTCATATTCACTCTTGAGAATTTTTACAACTGATCTGAAATTTTACTGTTGGGAGTCAAAACTTAAAAAGTGCATGATGTTTCAAATTCAAAGCTTCTACCTACATGTTTCAAAAAAGTGATAACAGAATGAAATTAGAAGTGACAGAATGATGGTATCATCCTGACCTAAATCCCCTTCTTCCAGACTTTTGAAAATTTAAGAAAAAAATATGGAGGGAGAGGGAAAGACTATGAAAAAATTGGTTTAGCCTATTCTAATTTGGCTAGTCTGAAGTGACACCAATACAAGAAGATCAGGGCTAAGGGTGGTGGAAGAACCCCAAGTTAAAATGACAGGACCTCAGGGTCTTTGGTATGTCAATTAGTATATACAGTCTCTGATTTAGTAGATGTGTACCCACATCTGGATTGACATCTGCAGCCAGGACATTAATTTATGTGTCACTAAGTCTGCCTTCCCATACGAGTTTTCAAAGGCCGGGATCAGGTCTGTGTGATATTCCCGATTGGCTCTTTCTGGGGCCATGAACATAAATGAAGGCTTGGGAGGTTGATGACAAGTGGTGTCCTGACTCTTTCAAGAATGTACACTTTACAAACAGATTTGGTCTCAGAAAAGTGACTTGTAAGGGTTAAATAACGCAGCGCATACATATTACAAATTTCACCATGAGAACATGTGTTAAAAGTCACCGGTAAGAAATCCCAGCTCGCCCAGGGATGCTGTGCAGCCTCAGCAGAGTTCATTGGAGGAAGCAAGGAGGAGAGGCACAGCCTCCCGCACTCTTCCCCGAAGCAGATCCTGCAGGACATTCTGGCCCTAGATTGAGAATCTCTTTGTGCCAGACTGATGCTCCCCCAAGACCAGCAGCTCGGGATGCTGCCCGATGCTTTTCCATACTCCTCAAGCTGGTTGCATTCGTAGGGGCCGCTCTCCAATGTCCGCTGAGGGCCAGGGGAACAGCCTTCACTCTGATGGGTCTTAGGATTCCATACTGAGGACCAACCGTCATTGGAAAGATAGTCTGGAAACTGAACTTCCCCCCGCCTAGCTGGCCACCCTACCTGGTGGATGCTGGATACTGTCTCCCATAAAGGAATCCCTCCTGACATAAATGAAAAGTGATGACACTTTGCTTTGTTAAACTCTTTCTTCCTGACTTTTCCTTCTTTCATTTTGAAAAAGAAAAGTAATCCTGCTATCTTTGAATTTTAAACACACACACACACACACACACACACACACACACACACACACACACACACATATTTGTTTCCATCTAAAGCCTGTTCTTTTGAGAGGTCTGGACTTCTCAGACCAGGCTCCCCCTGGAACGGAACTCAGAAAGGGCTGAAACAGTGGACAGGTTTCCCAGTAAAGATTTCTTCGTTGCTCATCCCTGTGAGGACCTTACATTTTTGTTGAATGATGCATGTTTGCCATCATCTCATTCTCACATGTACTCTCTCTCATCTAATCTCAACTCTTTCACAACAGTGCTTCCAAACTTTAAGGTGCACAGGCATCACCTGCGAAACTCGTTCAAATGCAGACTCTGACGCAGGCAACCTGGGCCAGGGCCTGAGCATCTGCATTTCTCACAAGCTCCCAGGAGATGCTGCTGGTCCACATGCCTCAGTTTGAGGACCAAGCCTCTATCTGATTTCTAAAATCTCAGAGGAGCACCTTGAAGGAATGGAAAGTTCCAAATCTAGGCTCCTTCATGGGACGTGGGCAAATTCCCTAACCCCTCAGTGCCTGTCTTCCTGACCTGAATGACGGAAATAATGATGCTCACCTCTATAGAGGCCTATGTGAGTAACATTACATGGATGCTTCCTTCCCACCCTCCCTCTCATTGGAGTAACCCAGCAATCCTGAGGAAGATAACCAGGCAGAATTATTTTCATTTTAAAACAAAATAAATGGAGACCCAGAGGGTAAGGGATTGACCTAAGATCACATTCCAAATTTGCTGCAGACCCAGGGCAAGAATCTAGTTCTTCGGTGTCTCCATCTTTCTCTATAGAAACAGCCCCTATGCTCTGGGCACAAGGCTCTGGGGGTCCCACTGTGTGGGGCAGGGTTCTGGAATCTGTACTCTTACATACGTCCTCGGGCCCCTGGGAGACATGGGAGCTGGTGTGCTTAAGCACACTGCCACCTCAGGTCCTCAGACTATTGTTCCTGCCCAACCTCCTGGGACAGCTGGTACTGAGCCTTCATCTGTGGGATTCTGATGAGGCCCCCTGATAACCAACTCTGGGCAGGTCTCATCTATAAACATTGGCGGAGACCCTCTGTCAATTCATGCTCCTATGGATTAACAAAACAGCCTTCAATTTTCATACTAATACTGACCATTCTTCAGATGATGCTTTATTTGTGCTTTTAATGGAGTGTTTAGACAATGCTGGCAGTTTCACATTGTCCTATCAGTGGTAATATGTGAAGATTATATGTGGAGTATCTGAAGATCACACAGACATACACATACACACACATACACGCATATAAAACTTAAGAGAAAATGTTAAAGGCTTAATACAGCAAACTGCAGAGAAAGAACAGAGCAACAGGTCCGTGTATGCCTCCCCAAGAGCTGCCCAAAGCCACCGGATGCCAGGCAGTAGCCTGTGGTCTGCAAATGCACCAGTCGGAGAGCCCAAAATAATGAGGCAGTAGATACATAACCTGCCCAATTCTTACGTCTGACCATGCCATCCACAATTCCTTTTTATATTTTTTTTGTGCTACAAGGTACTTATTTCTCCACGTTTCAAAGAGCCAGGTTGCCCACCACTTCTGACAATTACAGAAATAACAAACACTAACAGTATTCACCCCATGATTCTTGCCCACAAAAGCAGTTGGTCAAGGGCTGAAGGAAAATAAGGGAGAGTTTTCCCTGGTGCGATTCCGTCCTATGCATCTGTTCTGGGGAACAGAAGTCATTTATCTCTGTTCACCTTCTCTCCCTGCTAAATGCGTGCTACCACCCCATGGAAGATTTGATGGACGTAGACATGAGCCCTCTGAGGCCCCAGAACTATCTTTTCAGTTGTGAACTCAAGGCTGACAAAGATGATCACTTTAAGGTGGATAATGATGAAAAGGAGCACCGATTATCTTTACGAGCGGCCAGCTTAGGGGCTGGTACAAAGGATGCACTGCACGTTGCTGAAGCAGAGGCGATGAACTGCGAAGGCAGTCCAATGACAGTTCACACTGCAACCCTGAGAATGCCTGGACAGCTCACGGTTTCCTTTGGTGGCTTTGAAATGACACCCCCTGTGGTCTTATGGTTGAAGTGTGGTTCAGGGCCCGTGCATCTTTGTGCACAGCACTTAGGAAGACGCAGAGTCAGAAGATGAAGAGGAGGATGTAAAAACTCTAAGTACATCCGGAATGTGTTCTGCGCTTGAAAGTGCTAGCAAAGTTTCACAGAAAAAAGTTGCTGCTAATGAAGATGATGATGAAAAAGACGATGAAGATGATGAGGATGAAGAAGAAAAAGCTGAAGAAAAATCTCCAGTAAAGAAATTTGCACAAGATACTCCAGTCAAACACAAAGATCAAACCAGAATGGAAAAGACTCAAAACCATCAACACCAAGATCAAACAGTCAAGAATCCTTCAAAAAAACAGCAACAAACAAACAAACAAATAAAAAAAACTCCTAAAACACTGAAAGCACCTAGTTCTGTAGAAGGCATTAAAGCAAAAATGCAAAGCAAGTATTAAAAAAATACATTAAATAATCCTGGCACTACTAGTAAATTAAGCCCAAAGATGGGGAAAGAGGAAAAGGAGAGATAAATATAGTCCATGCTGAGCATTATCAACAGTCCAGACTGAAGTCTTCTATTTTAATCTCAATGCCTTTCCTGACTTATCACCCACCCACACCCCATTCCGGGCTGAAAGCAATCTCACCCTGATCTCCTAAAGAGCTTTTATTTTGGCTGCTGTGATTCAGTGAACTTTTCTTTCTACTCTACTTGTTCATTTGCCTCACCTCTTTGACCATGTTTTAAACACCTTTGTATCTCCCTAGCTGCTCAGTAAATACTTGAATGAATAAAAAAAACACACCCCAAAAATAAACAATCAAAAGACACAGGGCCACAGTGGCTCAGTTGGTTGAGCATTATCCTGTGCACCGAAAGGTTGCCTGCCTGTTTGATTCCTGGTCAGGGCACATGCCTGGGTTGTGGGCTCCATCCCTGGTAGGGGCTGTGCATGATATAGCCAATCGATGTTTCATTCTCACATCAATGTTTCTCCCTTTCCTTTCCTCTCTCTAAAAATAAATAAAAAATCTTTAAAAAAATTATACTCTACAGTCAGATACCCACTTCTAAAGAGTTAGGAAAAATCCCAAGTAGCTTCCAAAACCCAGGAACGTGCATTAAAAACCCAACAGGGGAGAAACTAAGATGGCGGCATAGGTAAACACCGGGAAATTGTCGCCTCCCACAACAATTGAAAATTACCGCAAAGGACTGAGCAAACATCATCCAGAACAACAGAAAGGCTGGCTGAGTGTAAATTCTACAACTAGAAGGAAAGAGAAGCACGCTGAGAGCCAGAGGCGCTGCGGAGGTGAAGTGCAGAGGTACGGCGGCTC